ATATTAACACTTACAGTACTGAAGGCTCATGTGGTGAAAATCCTCAAGTATCGCACCAGTTTAGAACACTGAAGCCGTGGTAAAATTTAAAATTAAGAAACATGCTTTAAAAATTCATAAAGGTTCATCAACCATTCAGAGTGACTTCTTTTGGTATTTACTTCAGTACAGTGCGTCCATTCGTTGTTTAATTATGTTTAGTGTGCCTGATTGCGTCGGTGACTAAAGTCGTTAGCCGTAGTGAGCGCGCACTGTTGTGGACACTTGGCCACTTTTCACCACAGTTATCGAGATTTACTCGGGGCGCGGGGGTCTCGTGCGGAGTAGGGGATCTAGTGCTGGGGCTTATATATATAATCGGTCACTCACGGTTTGTGAGGGGACAGTCGAACAGTCGGACGTTAGATGTATAGGAAGGGACAGAGCCAAAGTCTACCCACTTGGCGGGACATCTACTAAGCACTGCACTTATTAAAAAGGCCGTCTTTATTCGGACTCGAGTCCGAATAACATTTTTTCATATTCGGACTCGAGTCCGAATAGTCACTTCGTATTAAAAATTAAAGTATCCTGCACCTATGGCAAGAGTTTCGTTTGTTATTTCAAAGTGTTGGTTTTTTAAAATGTGACAGTGTTGTGTTCCGAAACAAATACTACGGCCTGGCTACTTAAGTCACTGATGGTCCTGTAAGTGTTAATATAATATTAACAAATGGCATTCAAGATTGTACAACTTCTTTTCACTTTTTGAAATATAATCGAATTCGATTTTTCTGCAAATTTTGTGTGAAGTCTTCATTCTGGGGATTAATTTTTTTCTATTTACAGACGTGTTGTAATATTTTTTTTCATATAAAAGTGTTACAACGAGGTGGAATCAGGCGCTCATTTATTTTGGGGCATATATATGGAGTTATTGGTATCACCTTAAAGCCTGTCCTTCTGCCTTGCTTTTGATGGATAAAATATATCCATTTATCTTGGATACAAGTCAAGATATTGGCCATTGAAGGATGTGGAGCTCTCCTGGATTCAAAGGAAAAATTAGTGAGAAAATGACAGGGAAAGTTGCTTATTTCCTTAGCTCGAGAGTCTGTTGTAACTGACAATTTACATATTTAAATGCGTTCAATCAACATTTTTTTGTAAAATCAACCCAGAAATATGGTCTTCAATGGGCGTGAAAGGTGTTGAGCCAAAAAAATAAAAATTCGACAAAAATTCTCAAACGTGCGGAAAAATGCCAGTTTTTTCACTTTCGTTCTTTTGACAAGTGCCTGATTTTTCCATGCTGCCTCACATATTGTGACATACACAATGACATTGAAAAGTAAAGTTATTCCCGCATCCGATCCGGACATTGGGGATTGCCTTGTTAGTGAGACAACTTCCTGGGCCTTCGGCATATTGTGGTAGGGTGGCCAGTTCCTTTCCACGCCGCCTTTACTTCCCCAACTCGAAGTCAGGTACCCATTACTGCTGGGTGGGCAGGAGGGGGCAGAAAAAATGTGTCCGAACCGAGGCTCGAACCGAGACTTTCCGCTTCAGAGACGAGCGCACTTACCGCTCCGCCACCGCACCCTCGACATTGAAAAGGTAGTCGATAAAGCTCTACAATTCCTAATGACGTATGGTCTCTCTTAAGTACAAGCGGGCTAACCCAGGTTTCATTGCCCTACCTATAGGAGAAGTATGGTTTCTTTGGTGTGTATATTTGTTTGGTTATAGAGAAAACTCTCCTTGTCTTTTAAAGAAACTGAACAAAGGACAAAAACTTTACCTTAGATTTTCTCAATACAGCATTTTTCGGGATAGCCCTCTTGTGCTTAAAAGTGACCTAATGTGAGGCAGCGTGGTGAAATCAGGCGCTCGTCAAAGTATTCTCGACAAGGAGACTGGCATCTTTCTGGCCTTTCTTGACAAATTTTTTTCGATGTTTCTTTTTTTGGCTTAACACCTTTCTATGCCCATTAATTTAAGAACACATTTCTGCGTGGATTTTACTGAAACGCGTTAATGAAAGGCTAAAAAAATATAAATATGAAGTTTCTGAAGACTCTCAAGCTTTGGAAATTTCCCAATTAATTTTGGCCATTTCTCGCTTATTTTATCTCCGGCAGCAGGCGGCCCCTACCTCTTTCAATCGCAAAAATCTTGACTTGAGTTCAAAATAGCTTGCTATATTTAATGTCATTTATTATTTTTTAAATATTTTTTTATATTAAAAAAAATAAATTTTTATTAATTAATTTTTTTTACGTCAAACGCAAGACAAATAAACAGGCTTTAAGATGATACTAATAACCCCTTATGCCCAAAAATTGACGAGCGCCTGATTCCACTGTGTCGTGACACGCTATATTAATTATGTATAATTTTTTTAAAAATAATTTGAACAATACGGGAAAGCATGTAAAATTTCAACATCTACAATCCCCTACTTGGATGAACTGTACATAACAGCTTGCACTAAAAAAATTAACTCCATCTTTTTAGACAACAAGTAAAGTAAGTTCGACAACAAATTTCCCTTTTTCTCTCAAATAAAAACATCAGTCAGAAGTAAAAGACCTAGATCTAGGCTTCTGATCTGTAACAAAGAAAAGACACAGATGGTCATTTTTACCATCATCCATCAAAATGCTTCCGTCTTGACCATCTTGTAGATAAGTAGATATCTATTCATATGCCCGTAGAGAATGCTTCAGTATAACTTTGAGTGTGTATCTAGCTTACGATTATTATTGTTGATATTGCTGCTCATTTATATTATATGCATGTGATTGTAAGCCTGCGTGTGTGTACATGCTTGTGTGTGTGTGTGTGTGTGTGTGTGTGTGTGTGTGTGTGTGACTGTATGTGAGTGTGTGTGAGTGTGTGTGTGTGTGTGACTGTGTGAGTGTGTGTGTGTGTTTGTGTGTGTGTGTGTGTTTGTGTGTGTGGTGAAACGCCTAACCAGTGTGCCAGGATCTGGACAGTAAAGATGTATCTTACATTGTCTTATTATCTGATCTGATCTGATCTGATCTGATCTTATCTTATCTTATCTTATCTTATCTTATCTTATCTTATCTTATCTTATCTTTTCTTATTATCTTATTTTCTTTTCTTATCGTATACGTCACGTCATGCATTATACCCACAGATGTGAGTGGTTGGCGGGTGCTCTGGTGTGGTTTGCTCCTCCTTTCCTATCAAACATCTATCGTCCTTATCTCCCCTACTTCTTTTTTTTATGTTTGTTACTCTCTTTTAACACCTCCAATCATCTGGCGCTCATATGACCTTATGCAGTTGCGAGCGCCGTAAAACCTCTACTAAAACTAAACAACTTCTTCTTTTCCGTCGTTTTTGGCGCTCATATGACCTAATGCAGTTGCGAGCACCGTAAAACTTCTACTAAAACTAAAACTTATATCCCCACAGAAGAGCTAAATCCTCAAAGAGAGAGAGATTCTCGCAAGTCTCCGTAACTTTATGGGATGGCCAGTAAAATCAAGGTCACGGCTGCGGCCAAAGCAGTTGACAACAGAGCCAACGAAGCAATCCTCAAGCAGAGGGTGAAAGAGGTCAGTACTTTTTTGTTGTACTGACTTACTCGTCCTTACTTGTCCACTGTGTTGGGGTCACTAATATTATTATTATTATTATTATTATCATTATTATTATTATTATTAATATTATTATTAATATTATTATTATTAATATTATTATTAATATTATTATTATTAATATTATTATTATTATTATTATTATTGTTATTATTAATATTATTATTATTATTATTCTGATTATTATTATTATTAATATTATTATTATTATTATTATTATTATTATTATTATTAATATTATTATTATTATTAATATTATTATTATTATTATTATTATTATTATTATTATTATTATTATTATTATTATTATTATTATTATTATTATTAATATTATTATTATTATTAGTATTATCATTATTATTATTATCATTAGGCCGCATTAGGAATAGTAGAAGTAGGAGTATTGTGATTATTATTATTTATTTTGATTATCATTATTATTATTATTATTATTATTGTTATTATTTATTATTATCATTCTTATCATCATTATTATTATTCTTTGGTTATTATTATTATCTTTATTTTTCTTTAAAAATTTTTGTGTGTGTGTTTTAGTAAGAGTTTTACGGCACTTGCAACACAATAAGGTCATATAAGTGCCGAAGATTAGAGGTGTTACAAGAGAGTAACAGACATAAAAAAGAAGGAGAAAAGATAAAGACGATAGATGTTTGATAGGAAAGAAGAAGTAAACCACACCAGAGCACCCGCCAACCACCCTCGTCAATACTTTGCTTGGGCTGGGAGTGTGGGCATCTGGATCGCGTGGGCTCTGGATAGATAACAACATCTCATCATCTCTGGATAGATAACAACATCTCATCATCTCTGGATAGATAACAGCATCCCAACAGCTCTGGATAGATAACAACATCCATTGGGCTCTGGATAGATAACAACATCTCATCATCTCTCAATAGATAACAACATCCATTGGGCTCTGGATAGATAAAAACATCCATTGGGCTCTGGATAGATAACAACATCCATTGGGCTCTGGATAGATAAAAACATCCATAGGGCTCTGGATAGATAAAAACATCCCAACAGCTCTGGATAGATGGATAACAACATCAGATCTAGATAGTAGATGACAACATGGTATCATCTCTGGATACATAACAACATCGCATGGACTCTGGATACATAACAACATCGCGTGGACTCTGGATACATAACAACATCGCGTGGACTCTGGATACATAACAACATTGCGTGGACTCTGGATACATAACAACATCGCGTGGACTCTGGATAGATAACAACATCGCGTGGACTCTGGATACATAACAACATCGCGTGGACTCTGGATACATAACAACATCGCGTGGACTCTGGATACATAACAACATCGCATGGACTCTGGATACATAACAACATCGCGTGGACTCTGGATAGATAACAACATCGCGTGGACTCTGGATAGGTAACAACATCGCGTGGACTCTGGATAGATAACAACATCGCGTGGACTCTGGATAGGTAATAACATCGTATCAGCTCTGGATAGGTAAAGACGTGGCTCATTATAATTATTAATAATAGTATTATTATTATTATTATTATTATTATTATTATTATTATTATTATTATTATTATTGGTATCACTCTAATTATTATTATTATTATTATCATTATTATTATTATCACTCTAATTATTAATATTCTTCTTCTTCTTCTTCTTCTTCTTCTTATTATTATTATTGTTATTATTATTATTATTATTATTATTATTATTATTATTATTATTATTATTATTATTATTACTATTATTATTATTAGGTCGCATTAGTAATAGTAGTAGTAGAAGTAGGAGTATTGTGATTATTATTTATTATTATCATTATTATCATTATATGTATTATTATTATTATTATTATTTATTATTATTATCATTATTATTATTATTGTTATTATTTATTATTATTATTCTTA